CCCCCCCCCCAAAAAAAAAAAGCAGCAAAGCCACGCCCAGCAGGGAAGGGGAATTTGGGGGAGGAGGGGGGGGGGCAACAAATTTTGGGGGTCCCGAGTGAGATCCATGTGTGCCCTCACCCCAAACGGGCAGGGAGGGGAATTGGGGGGCACGAGGGGGGACATAAAACACCCCAGAGGTGACACCAAACACCCCAGAGGTGACACAGGACAGCCCAGAGGTGACACCAGACCCCCAGGAGGTGACACAGGACACCCTAAGGCAGCTCGGGGACCCCAGGAGGTGACACGAAACACCCCAGGGGTGACACCAGAACCCCCAAGGCAGCTCAGAAGGTGCCACCAGACCCCCAGAGGGGACACCAAACCCCCCCAGAGGTGACACAGGACACCCCAGAGGTGACACAAGACACCCTAAGGCAGCTCTGGGAGCCCAGGAGGTGACACCAAATGCCCCAGAGGTGACACCAAACACCCAAGAGGTGCCACCAGACGTGACACAGGACAGCCCAGAGCAGCTGTGGGAGCTCAGGAGGTGACACCAAACACCCCAGAGGTGACACAAAACACTCCAGAGATGACACAGGACACCCCAGAGGTGACACAGGACACCCTAAGGCAGCTCAGGGACCCCAGGAGGTGACACCAAACACCCCAGGGGTGACATCAGACTCCCCCAAGGCAGCTGAGAAGGTGCCACCAGACCCCCAGAGGTGACACCAAACACCCCAGAGGTGACACCAAACACCCCAGAGGTGCCACCAGACGTGACACAGGACAGCCCAGAGCAGCTCTGGGAGCTCAGGAGGTGACACCAAACACCCCAGAGATGACACAGGACAGCCCAGAGGTGACACAGGACACCCTAAGGCAGCTCAGAAGGTGCCACCAGACCCCCAGAGGTGACACAGGACAGCCCAAAGGTGACACAAAACGCCCCAGAGGTGACAAGTGACCCCTCCAGAGGTGACACAGGACACCCCAGAGCAGCTCTGGGAGCCCAGGAGGTGCCACCAAATGCCCCAGAGGTGACACAGGACAGCCCAGAGCACCTCGGGGACCCCAGGAGGTGGCATGAAACACCCCAGGGGTGACATCAGACTCCCCCAAGGCAGCTCAGAAGGTGCCACCAGACCCCCAGAGGTGACACAGGACAGCCCAGAGGTGCCACCAGAGGTGACACAGGACACCCTAAGGCAGCTCTGGGAGCCCAGGAGGTGACACCAAACACCCCAGAGGTGCCACCAAGCCCTCCCCCGGGGGGGTTTCCACCCCCTAAAAAAGACACCCCCCCCCCCCCCCCCCCCCCCCCCCCCCCCCCCCCCCCCCCCCCCGGGGGGCCCCCCCCCCCCAAAAAAACCCCCCCCCCCCCCCCCACCCACCTCCCCCCACCCCGCGCCGTGACCGAGGAGAGCGGCGAGAGCAGCGAGAGCCAAGAGCCGTTTATTGACCAAACCCTGCTCGGGGCGGGCACATTCCCGGAGCTCCCGAGCATCCCCCGAGGCTCCCGAGGATCCCCCGAGGCTCCCGAGCATCCCCCCGGATCCGGCCGGGGTGGGGGGGGGAGAGCCCCGCCAGCCCCCCCAGGGAGCCGAAACCACCTCCCCCCCCTCCAAAAAAAAACCAACACAACGTTCTGACATTCAAACATCAGCCTCGTCCAGCCCGTGGATGCGAGGAGGGAATGACAGGGATGGGAGGAGCGGGAGGGAGGGATTTTTGGATGGGCAGGAGGGATTGGAAGGGCTGGAGGAGCCGGAAGGACGGGAGGAAGAGGAGGAGGAGGGATAATTGGAGGGGTAGGAGAAGGGAGGAAGGATGGGAGGGACAGGAGGGATTATTGGATGGGCAGGAGGGATTGGAAGGATTGGAGGAGCAGGAGGAGGGATTGGAAGGACAGGAGGAGGAAGAGGAGGGATGGGAAGAGCAGGAGGGATAACTGGAGGA